ACACTTGGATTTTGGAACTTGTATTTGAGCATTGGGTTAATGTTCATCTAAATGAAGCTCATACAAAAAAGATGTTGTTACTCCTCATTTTTGTCAATTATTTAGCTAATAGGCTTTTTAGTACCATCATGTATTAGAAAATATGTAACACCCCCTCCAAAGCAAAATATAAATAAAATATAAACTTTTTTTCCTTCTTTGGCTTTTTGAGACAGGCCTGGCCTTGAACTCACTTTATACCCAGTGTTGGGAAATAGTTTTGCACTCATGTCTGGCCAAATACTGCTATTCTGATGCTTATGTTGGATTTCATTACATTGGTTCTCAGTTGTTGGTGCTTATCAAAGCTGTTGGAGTAAAAATTTTCATAACATTTGCTGGAGCCCTCTGTTGACCAAATAAATTAGAATCTCTTGCCAAGATACTTGTTTAAAAAAGGATTATGATGATCAACCCTTACTGTAGAACTACAGCATTGTGAAAATGATTGTGCCCTGGAAAGACCAAATTGGCTGTACACTTGTATTTCAGAGCTGAACCACTTGATTGAGGCATTTAAAATTTTTAATCTTGATACCCTACATAGTGTTACTTATGAAACACAGTACTAGTATATCCCTTTTACTAATACCACATTATGTTTGTATAAAATGACTTGTTCTTTTCTTCTTTATAAAGTGTTTACAATTCATTATTTCACTGATTTTTTTTTACTTTTTCATAACTACTCTTTTTTGGGGGGGGTACTGGGGATCGAACTCAGGTCCTTGTGCTAATAACTACTCTTTATTAAACAAAATTGTCCCTGTTTTATAGCGAGAAAACCAAGATTAAATGGTCTATTCAAGCCTTCTGGTGAGTAATTGTTAGCAGTCAAAATGGAACATGCATTTGGTGCACTATGTATCAGTATTTTCCGAGACCATATAACTGTGATTGCCTTATTTTATATATTTTAAAAAATGTAAAAGTACTGTGAAATTTAGGAAGCTGGGTGTGGCAGTGCACATCTGTAATCCCAGCACTTGGAAGGATAAGGCAGGAGGATTGGCATGAGTTCTAGGCCAGCCTGAACTACATATTGAAGCCCTGTCTCAAATACAAACAAATAGGGCCTGGGATTTAGCACAGTGCGCCTGCCTCGAAAGTACAAGGTCCTGAGTTTGATCCCTGGTACAGAAAACAAATAAACCCAGAAAACCCACACACAAAAATACCATAAAAATTTTTAGTCCATTTATACTCTTGTTGTATTCTCTAGGATCTTAACATGTCTAAAATACATTACTAGCTGAGTGTAGAGGTGTATGCCTATAATCCCAGCACTTAGCAAGCAGAGACAGGAGGACTGCTGCAAGTTTGAGGCCACCCTGGGTTACATAGTGAATTCAAGGACAGTGTAAACTACATAGTGAGACCCTACCTCTAAAAAAATAAAGACACTACTCAATCTCATTCCTAAAGACTTTTGATGAGTTGATTCCTACTTGGGCTTCTGGTGTGATTCAGGAAGGAGTCAAGATTTGACTGCCATGTGGTTTTATTGAGGAGTCATTGTTGATTTACTGAGTTTTTTTTCTTTTTAGGTTAGAAAAATGTATTATTATTATTATTATTATTATTTTTTTTAAAGTAGTGGTGATTGTGGTGTTGGGAATTGAACCCAAGACTTTTTATTAAGCATGTGTTCTACCATTCAGCTATACCCCTAATCCTTAAATAAAAATTTTATTGAACTGTGACCCATGTATAGAAAAGTGTGCAAGGGGCCAGGGATTTAGCTTAGTGATTCCATTGCGTGCTTTGCAAGCTCAAGGTCCAGAATTCGATCCCGGGTATCCAAAAAAAAAGAAAAATGTGCAAGTCGTAAGTGTTCGTCTTCATGAATTTTTACAAAATGAAAAAATTAATGTGACAGTCATCCAGATCAAGAAATGGAAGCATCTCTGAGGTCTTTCCTGTCCTAAAGAAGTAACTACAATTCATGCTGTCATCAGTTGCTTATTCAGAGTAGAAAATGACGTGGCAATGTTTTGTAGCAATGAACTTAAAATAATTGGTGAAAAACAGCTTATCCCAGGAAAATTACTTGAAAAATCTAGCTTTTGGCAGTATAATACCCCCTTTCTTCCTCTTTTTTTTGTTACTTGAGAATAAACTCAGGGCCTTCACATTGTGCTAAATCACAGCCCGTATTTATTTTGAGGCAGAGTCTTGCTAAATTGCCAGGTTGCCCAGGCTGGTCTCAAACTAGGCTGGACTCAAACTTGTGATCCTTCTGCCTTAGCCTCCAACAGTGCTGGGATTACAAGCCTCTGTGTCATCATGCCTAGCTGATGATATGATTGAGAATATAACTAGTAGTGACATGTTTAAGGCAAGATCAGTCAGCATGTAAGTAGATGGGCTGAGCGGTTTCTCATTAAGCCCTTCTGAAGGGTCGGTGAAAGATAATGCAAGTACATTGTGATTTGATCACTGAGTATTCCTTGCCGTAAATTTTCTTGCTTTTTGCAGAAACTTCCTATACTTTTTTATTCTGTGAAATATGAATATTCTATAGAAAATGAGCGCTTCTGAACTCATTGTGTTATGTTGGAGCTGAGTCACTGATTTGATTTGTACACTTGGAAAAGATTCCTTATCCATGGCTAGGGAGTGATTCTTACAGCTCTTTTGCTATTGACATTGATGGTTTCTGATTTAGGTGGAATTGTTTGTCATTTAGATTATATTACCAAGGTTTACTTTTTAGGTTTAAAAGTTTAGTTTTATAAGATTTTTCTGGTCCTCTGCATGTGTAAGTCATATTTATTAAGCTCCTGCTAGGCCCCGTATTCAGTGCTTAGGGATATAAAATTGAACACACAGCTTCTATCAATTTTTACCTTTGCAGCATAGAGGAAGCTATTATCTCTGGATATTTTAAAAAATCCCTTGCTTCTAGAATCCTGTCATTTTCTCATCTCTACTTTGGGATCTCAGTGTGGTATTTAATGAGCTATTATTCAGTCTTTCTGAATTAATAATAGCCCCATATTGTAAAGATTTTACTTTGAAAGACACATCTCAGTGACTGTGAGTGCTATATGGCTTACCATCTTGATGCCACACGAAACTAAGTTGTATATCTTTTCTAAGTTCCTTGTTGTGTGTGTTTTTTTCACATTATACACAAAAGTTTTCTTTATCACATTTGTAAAGAGAATGAATTTACAAATAAAATGGGCTCTGAATCAATAGTCAGAAGGTCTAAGAATTTCAGAGTCCTTGAGATACCCTTTCTTGGTCAGTAATCTAAAAATTATTGTAAGATCATCTGTTAGTTTTATGTCTACAGGCCTGACCCTGTATACAGTCAGTCTATTCACAACTGATTGTGACTCTGTTCACCATTACTTAACGTTCTGTTCAGTTTGCTTTGGGTGACTGAAATGCTGTGCAGCAGCTCTCATCTTCTGTTAATTGGACTTGTCTTTTTGAAACCAAAAGCTTTAGTTTGGATCATGTGTGCTTATTTCTTCCTTCTTCCAGAAGTAGGTGGTGAGAAATAGCAAGACTGACTCCCTCTAGTATGTATTAAAAAAGCAAATATTACTTAGTACTACTTGATGTAAGTTTCTTCAAAGCTCTTTGTACCATGTCAGGCCACCATTTCAGATAGTTTCCTTTTTTTAAAAAATGGAAAATATTTTTATTATTAATGCAATAAGACATAAGAAAACTCAAAGAAAAGAAAGAACTCAGTCAAGTTAGTTGTATGTCCCTATTTTACTTTTCGAGTCCCATTTTCCGCTGATAGTTTTCCACTGGCCCACTTTTGAATTTCCTAAGTCTCTGGCCTCAGTCTTCCAGTTTAATTTCTTGATGTCAGGTCCAGTATTCTGGTTTGGATTTTCCTCTAGCTCAGCCTCAGAGATGACCTGTGCTGACTTTGCCTTTCATGGGCGTCTGCACAGAGATAGTTTCCTTTTGAAAAATCAAGGTGCATTTGCTTTAAATATCCAGCACTTTTTTTTTTTTTTGTACTGGGGATTGAAGTTGGGTCCTTGGCGCTTGCAAGGCAGGCGGCAGAACCACTGAGCTAAATCCCAGGCCCACTTATTCTTAATTTCCTTAGAAAATAGAACATAAACATGTTTGGGGGCTGATCAGTTCTTTTAGGGCCAACATTTCAAGCTTTGTAGTGTGAAACACTTAAGAGATAAATTCTTTTGCATCAAATGCTTTGGTATGCCTCCACTTCTATCTCACAAATAATTTGCTTTGAAGCAGGCAGGTAGTGGAAGATGGCAGATAGTTTTTAAAGTGCTTTTCTTGACAGGATTGCACAGCTATATTTAATATGTTTTAAAGTATTAAAAAAACTGAATAGTCATCAGTGAATTGTTGCAGTAAGCTGGGACCTGTATAGGTGGGACTAGAGAGGTGCACATTGGCAAGACATAGTCCAAGATCAAGTATAGAGTAATTGAATTGGAATGTTAGACCACATTGAGCTCATGTTTGGAAGCAAAGGAGAGGTTATATAGGATTGGAGGGAAGTATGAAATTCTTTTATGAGCTTAATACCTTGCCTTTATGCTATTAGCTACCATACCTGGAGATTATTAGGAGTCACGTTATTACATAGGTAGGGATTTGAAAATAGAGAAGTGGGACCAAGAGGTACACAGTTATGGTTGGGCTTTGGGCGGAAAGGGGAACTTGCCTGTTCCGTCACACAAATGAAACAGAACTAAAAGCAGTGGGATGGTGGGGACATTGGTTATATTAAGAGTGTCCTAAACTCTGTAACATACACATATGTCTGTCTTCCCCATTTGGCAAAACTTTCTGTGGTGTTCCTGCCTGTGTTGTTTGTTAATTGGATGTGATGTCTGAAAGTGTGCGGGCACTTCCTTTTCTGACCAGCACCTAGAGTAGCCTGATGTCTGCAGTGGATGTCCACTTTTACTAGTTGTTGACGATTAGTGAAGCTGAAGCTATTTTTTAAACAGGGCCCAAGGGATGCAGACAGTGATGAAAACGACAAAGGTGAAAAGAAGAACAAGGGTACGTTTGATGGAGATAAGCTAGGAGATTTGAAGGAGGAGGGTGATGTGATGGACAAGACCAATGGTTTACCAGTACAGAATGGGATTGATGCAGACGTCAAAGATTTTAGGTTTGTATGTTTTACACTTCCGATTTTTGAATGTGGGCTGTGCGTTTTTGTTTCAATTTGTATTTGTTTTAGAGAGCCCCTTCCCTATTTTCTTCTAAAAAATTGGATATGTTGTAGGCCATGCTACAAAGATGTTAATTACTAAGGTAGAATTTCCCAAGAATTGCTAATACCTGATATTTTGCCAAATGGTGAATTTTGCCTTGATTAGAGTTCTAGAACTTGAAGAAAGATTCCATTAAAAAATTTAAGGAATGCTCAAGTATCAAAATTACCTCAGGTAGACATGTGGGACTTCTACCAGCTTCTCCCAAATCATGGTACTAGAAAGCCACATTACTAGTGGAAGTGGGTCATGTTCCTCTGGCATATTAGAGGGAAAAAGTTGAGAACTTGTGTATTAACTCATTAGAGTTTCATAAACTCCTTTCGAGGTGAGTGGGTTAGGTATCATCTCCCTCATTTTGAAGAACCAGAGATACAACTTAAATAACTTGGGCTTTATCATACCACTTCCATATGTGGCTTTTTTCCCATTTCTAGTCCTTACTGACTTACAGATTTTACCTTGTAATTTAACACACAGTATTACATACTTACTTATCTTTCACAGTGGGCAACTATTTATTTGTGTTGGCAACCTTTAGTTATGGGGAAGAATTTAAAAAATCTATAAAAATCCTATATAGTTAATAGTATAGTTAAATAATCATTATATAGCTAAATATTATAAATTTAGTTAAATAATTTAAATTTGAATCATTTTAATGTCAGCCTGTTAATAGATATATATTTTCACATATACCACATAGGCATACATGTCATTCGTAATATCTACCAAAGTTAAAATCTATTTTGTATCATTTGTAGAACAAAGTGTCACTTGTTAGTTTAATTTTTATATCTTTAATGTGTGTAGAATTATAGTCTTTGAGTAAAATTTGAGGCAAAGGGTAACAAACTCTTCCATATGGTCTCTTAGCTGAGTTCAGGTAGCCTTTCCACCCTGAATTGCAAGCAGCCTATAACAATGTCTTGTATTATTTGCCTGGGTGCTCGTAGTGCTGTGTGCATAAGGGAACTGATGTTACACTTAATATATATCAGCTATCGAATTTCTTTCAGGGATGAAGAACATTGAATGTAGCCAAAGGCTACATCCCTTGACTATAATATTAATATATGTTAGTTTGATTTTGTATGTTATAATTCTGTAATCCTTTTACATAGGGTGATGGTATATCCTGGGCTCCCCAGAACATCATTCCTTTATACTTATATCCCAGGTAACTACCAGTAGTACCCTTTTTTTTTTTTTTTCTTTTTTTTTTTTTTTTTTTTTTTTTTTTTTTTTTTTTTTTTTTTTTTTTTTTTTTTTTCTGTTTGGAGTGTCCTAGCTTGGATGATAAATTATATCATCACATTAGCTTCAATAACTTCTTAATAGGGGCATAGCCTTAATAATGAATTAATTTTTACTGTTTTGAAATGGTCTGCTTCTTCTGGTTTCTTAGAAGGGAAGAGAGTTTTAACATTGGTCAGTAGTATCAATGATACATAACAAATTTTTATTAGAATCATTCTGAGATGTGGAATTTCCCCTAAAAGCAGACTTTTTTCCATTGGTTCTATATTCAAATGACATATGTTGTATTTTTAATATTAGTGCCTGTTTATAGTACATAATGATTGCATTTGTCGTAGGGAGTTGATACACATATATGGCATATTGTAATTCTTTTTTTATCCTCTTCCTTTTTCCTTTGCCAGTTGTTGCTTGTTGGGCATATTTTACTGCCTGTGTTTTGTTAGGCATGTCTATTTTTGGTTTTTTTGAGATAGGGACTCCCTACATAGTTCAGGCTGGTCTTGAACTCACTATTTAGCTTGGGCTGGCCTTGAATTTATGGCAGTCCTCATGCCTCTGCTTCCTGAGTGTTGGGATATAGGTGAGAGCCACCATACCTAGCACGTCTGTTTTCATGGATGCCATAGGCAATGTTTTTTTTTTTTTCAGTTTATCTAGTGTTTCTCATATCTGAACTTTTTTGTGAAGGGATTGTAAATTAATAGCAGTTAATGTAAATTTAATGGGTGGGTGGGTGGGTGGATGGGTGGAAAGGCCAGCTATAGAAAAATTAGAGGATGTAACCTTGTAAGGACAGTAAAGGATTTCTGGTTATTTTGTAGGAATAACTTTAAGTATTACTGATAATGAGCTGTGTCAAGGACATTGTCCTTTAAACTTGGGGTTGCTTTAGTGTCCCTTCCCACTCAAAATGAGGTTTAATGCCCTTTACTTTCTCTGTTTAGCCGTACCCCTGGTAATTGCCAGAACTCTGCTAATGAAGTGGATCTTCTGGGTCCAAACCAGAATGGTTCTGAGGGCTTAGCCCAGCTGACCAGCACCAATGGTGCCAAGCCTGTGGAGGATTTCTCCAACATGGAGTCCCAGAGTGTCCCCTTGGACCCCATGGAACATGTGGGCATGGAGCCTCTTCAGTTTGATTATTCAGGCACGCAGGTACCTGTGGACTCTGCAGCAGCAACTGTGGGACTTTTTGACTACAATTCTCAACAACAGGTACTGTGTGTGTCTCTGTTACTCTTCCTACTTTCCCTTCAGCCGGCATATAATTCAAGTAATTAAGGATGAAGGGTGGGGGGAGGTTGTCATTTTAGGCTGTCATTAGCCAGCCCCTACTAATCGACAACATGAAGCCCATGTCTTTGTCCTCAGGAAGCTGGCTTCTCATGCCAATGTTAGTGGCAAGAGAGCACCCTACTGTTTGTGTGTTTGTCTTTGCTCTTTTCTTCCCAGCACCTGAGGGATGGCATGAGGTGGTATTACCTCTGTTACTTTCTCTGAAGATTTATGTGGTTGTGATACTGCTGATTTGTTTTGTTATTGTGCCAAATCATATTAGTCATTTAAGTTGCTGTAGATAACATAGTTATTAACATAATTACTGTAAATAAAAGATAAAGATAAATAATAGATAAAGATACTGTAAATAACAGATAAAGGTCTGGTATCTTTCAAATGAGTTAGAATATGATTAGGAGAACATACACAAGTTACTCTAAGATCTACAATGAAGTTCCTTGGCTCTTTCATTCATAAATTTATGGAAATTTTTGTTTGTGTGACTTAGGCATAGAGGACTAATTCTAGACTTTCTGATCAGTTTTAGTTTTTTGTATTTTTTTAATGGACCATATGAATTATAAAAGGGCAGGTAGCTTCGTGATCTTGTAAAATACCATATATTCCCTGTGGTAGAAGCAGTTGATGAACTGGGAATTTCTGTTACTTCTTAGTTTGTCTAGAACATATTACAACCTTCTAGGAATGTGAAATGACTCTCTTATTTTGAACTTTACAAACTCTGTGTTGTATGTAGTGAGAAATTAGCTTATGGTTTTGTGGATCAGTTGTAACATTTTGTACCTTTTGTTACTGTTGTAAATAGCTAATATTGATTAGCAACCCCACCCCCCACTCCCGCAACATGCACAGTGGGATTAAATCCAAGGCTTTTGCAGTGACTGCACCTCCAGCCTTCTTTTCTTTCCTTTTTGATTCAGGGTCTTGCTAAATTGCCCTGGCTGGGCTCAAATTTGTGATCCTCTTGCCTCAGCCTTCCAGAGTGCTGGGACTATAAGTCTTCTTACATCTGGCTTGAATGAAATTTGACTGGTAGACAACTAAAAAAGTTAAATCTAAAAATCCCATTCACATCCAGTTTTGTGCATAAGTTCATTATGATCATTGATCCTTTTTTCAACAGGAAATTGGTGTGTGTTCCTAAATTTTAACCCTCCAACCTTTCTTACATGTTTTGCTTTGACACATTTTACTCCATTTTGTACTTCTAATTTAAAATCTTTCCTTTTTTATCTGCACACCAAAAAGTTTCCATGTCTTCTTGTTTTGAGCTCTGTTGTACCTTGTGTGTGTCCTTAAAAAGGAGTAACCCATGTCTTCTGCCTTGTGGTCTGATTTGTCTGAAAACCCTTGTTGAACTGCAGCCTCCTTGAGGCCAAGGATTTTCCTCTACATTGTTTCAGCAGACCAAGTTTTCAGGGAACTTTCCTCCTATCTGTATTATATCTTTGTGTTTATCTTGTGCTTATTTATTTACCTATTTATATACATTGATTGATTGTACTAAGGCTTGAATCCAGGGCCTTTGCACTGAGCTACATCCGCAGCCTATTTTATGTTAGGTTTTATTGATTGATTGATTGAGCAGGGTCTCTTAAGTTACCCAGGCTGGACTATAACTTGTGATCCTCCAGTCTTAGCCTCCTGATCTCTTGTTTTTAGTATACTGTACTTTCAAAATTAAAATTTGCAACTGTAAAATTATTGTATGGTACTCAGGAAAGTAACATTAATGTATAGTAATATATACGTATTTCTTAGAGATAGGGTTTCACTTTGTAGTCCAGGCTTGCCTTGCACTTACTACGTAGCTTAAATTGGACTTGACCTCATGGTGTTCCTCCTGTTTCTGCTGAATGGTGGGATTACATGCGGTGTGTGCCACTACACCCTGCACCAGAAATGTGATATTACTGTGTAATATCAAGAAACATTATTTCTTGGAACAGAACTTGGTTCTGTTGCCATCTGATCAAAAGCTGTGAATCTTCTCATCAAAAAATAATGAACAGAGTATTCAGGGTATAACCTTTTGTTAGCATCTTTTGTTTTCATCTGGATCCAAGTATATCTCTGTGAATAGAGCAAGATTCCCTATTTGCACCTCCCCTCCCTTTCCTCAGTTTAGTCATTTAAATAGTTGAGAGGAGGGCCGGATATTTAGCTCAGTGGTGCCACTGCCTGGCAGCACCCACCTGCCTATCCCAAGTTTGAATCCCCAGTATCAAAAAAGAAAAAAAAAAACCCATTGCTAAATAGTTGAAAGAAGTGCTTAATGACAAATGATGAGACCGTATGTGTCTGTGTCCTAGGAACCCTGAGAACAAGGGAGAGCACACTACTCTATAGGGAAGGACAGATTGTGGAAAAGGTGATTTTTGAGTTGTACCTTCAGAGACTTATTTGTACAGGAGGAGAATGAAAATGCTCATGGAGGAAATAGTAAAACTAAAGCTTTAAGATGGAAATTAGCAGGAATGTGTTTCGGTAGATAACATAGAGGTGGTTAGTCTGGCTGGTAGTTTAGGGTGAAAACAAGTGTGGGATAAAGTTGAATAGATAATATTTGTCTTACTGACTTGTCTTACTGTCTTGCCTCGTAGGCAGTAATAAAGACATTTTAAAGGAAGAATGTTTTATCTTTTATTTCTTTGGGGGGATGTTAGTGTAGAGGCAGTTTTAGATGTTCACTTACTCATATTATAATGAGTTATTCGTTGACTGTTGTATTCTTCAGTTATGGGCTGATTGAAGAACTGGGTTTAACTGATTGGTCACAAATGCTATCACACAGGAGAGTGGTGAGAACCAAGCATTTGAAGGGACAATTGGAATGTATATTGTTGCAGGTAACAGAGAAGAGAAATGGAGATGGCAGTGTGGCAGTGTGGCCATAGGGTGACTACAGTAGAGGACAATGAACAGGTGCATTTGGTAATAGAGCCCTGGAACCAGGTGTGAGTCTCAGATGTTATATTAACGATTATACTAATATAATAACCAGAGTTCTAGAGTGGCACATATTTCTCTCCATATTCTGCTCTTTGATTTTGACTTCAGTGAGCAACAGAGGTTTTTGAATTATTTGCTAAAAATAGCAGTGTAGCTTTAACTGTGATTTTATGCAGGGGTCTGGTTTGGAGTTTGACAATGAATAGAGTACCCTCTTGTTTTATTTCCTTTCAACCATGGCTTTGATTTGTTAGAGTAAGCTGGTTTCATAAAATTTTAATATCAGCTTAAAGTGAGATACGTATCATGCAGTCTGCAGATAGGGGAAAGTGTGTAAAGAAAGGTTATAGTGGAAGTCAGTTATATTAAAAATAGCTTTCAAGGTATTTAAAAATAGACTTACTGGTGTAGTTACTTTATCATAAGATGCACTGAATAATAATGAGCACAGTGAGGACTCTGAGGTGTCTACAGACAATCATATAAAGTAACATGAAAATAGTTGACTTATAGTTGTGGTAATGCCACAGGTGTTTGGGGGGAATTGAAGAACATGCCAAATTTCAGGTGAATAGAAGCTCATAAAAATAAAGATACAGTACTGCCCACTTGAGTACAGACATGTTGGATTAAAAACTTTTACGGTATTTTTGTGAACTTGAAGGGCTCATTGATATCTCTGTAGTCTTGTCCCTTTTTCTCACTTTCCCCATTTGCACTGTTCGTTCTGGAAAATAGCCAGGAACAGTTCGTGTATACTGTGTCCCTATCTGTCTATCTGTTGGTCCCCCTGCCCGTTTTCTGTATGTCTTTGTTCAGGCTGGTCTTGTACTCACTCTGTAACCCCAGTTGGCTTTGAATTTGTGTCAATGCTGCTGTTTCAGCTTCCTAAGTGCAGGTATTACAGGTGTGTGCCACCACACCCAGCTTGTTTTCATGGTTTTGTGTGTTGGTGCTTGATGAGAAGTATTACTAAATTTTTATATGAAATGTTTATATTTCCTCAAATGTATTTAGAAAATTATTATTAGGTTTCAATATATTGTAACCTTGTACAAAAATCCAAACCAGGAATATACTAGCATTGATTAGCCATATTGTTGATATTCTTTATTTAAAATTTATTTAATAAAAAATAGCCTAATATAGCATATTTTGCAATATTTCATACTATAGTACTAAAATACTTATTGAAGGGTTGGGAATTTAGCTCAGTTGTGCTGCTGTCTACTCTACAAGCTCAAGGTCTTGAGTTCGATCCCCAACACCAAACAATACAAATCAAAACACCCCAAAAAAACTCACACCTTATTGAATATGAGTTTTAAACAAAGAGGCAATATTCTTTATCATTCTGAGCTCTGAACCTAGGGAACACAAAGCCCTTAGCCCTTCTTTATTATTTTATTTTGAGACTGGGTCCCCCTGAGTTGCCAAGGCTGACTTCAAAGCTGGAATCCTCCAGCCCTCAGATGCCCAAGTAGTTGGATTATGGGTATGTGCTAGCTCTGGCTAAAGAAGCGATATTCTGAATGCATTCCTGCACAGCCATAGTCAAGAGAGAAAATTAACATACTTCCTTTGTTGTTTATTTGTTTTTTTCCCTGGTACTGGGGATTGAACTCAGGACCTTGCACTTGCAAGGCAGGCACAGTGCCACTGAGTTAAATCTCCAGCCCCTCTTTGTTCTTGACAGGATCTTACCACATAGTTCAGGCTGGACTCAAACTTGCAATGATCCTTCTGCCTCAGCCTCCCAAATATTGGATTTACAAGTGTAAAGGTGACATACTGCTTTTATTTTTGTTTTTTAATTCTTAATTTTTTTTTTTTTGATGTGTAGAATACCTTTTATTTGGCTAACATGTCCCCAAACAGGTCAGTTAGTGAAATAGATTCTAGAGAATATGGCTTATACACAGCCCTCCCTCCCCAGAAATAACCCCAATGATGGACATTTTCCTCCTTCTGGGCTCAGTGGATATTAAAAAAAAAAAATGGCAGTTCTGTTTATCATCTGGGTATGGGGCACCATGTCTGACATACTGCTTTTTATTTTTATTTTTTTGGTTTTTTGAGACAGGGTCTCATTATGTAGTTCAGACTGCTCTGGAACTCACTATGTAGCCCAGCCTGGTCTCGAACTCATAGCGATCCTCCTGCCTCAGCCTCCCATGTTCTGGGATTACTGGCATGTGCCACCACGCCCAGCTCATACTGCTTTTTAAATTTTTATTTTATTTTATTTTCCAGTACCAGGGGTTGAACTCAGGAACAGTGTCACTGAGCTAAATCCCTGGCCCTTTTATGTTTTTACAGATAAGAAAATTAAGACATGGGAATTATATGTATTATTTTGATTTCTAGCTCCAGGCCGTTTTCCTTGAACCTTGTACTAGGAACACAGAGCCTTTGATAGGGTGAAGCCATCTTCAGATTCAATTTTATTCATATTCTTTTCTGAAAGAAGTCAGATGTAAGAAGTACTTTTCAATGAGGATAACAAAAAAATAAGTTTCCTTCCTCTGTGTCACTTTTGTGGTCCACTGACAGAGCTTCGTACTTGTGGTGCAGTGGGGTTTTGATTCTCAAAGTGGGCTTCCATGTGCTTGGGCTGCTGTGCTCTGGGAGAAGCTGGAGGAGGCACTCTTCGTTCACTAGGAACAATATCATGCTGAAAGGACTGTTTTAAGCATTTCATGTGTGTTTAATCCTTATGACAACGTTTTGTGCTAGATTTTTGTTTCCCTGTTACAGAGAAAAAAGTGGGGTACAGAGACTAAGTCACTTACCTAAAGTTACAGAGCAAGTAGTAGTGGAGCTGAGATATGAACCAAAACTGTCCAGTCTCAGTCTGTGCTCTTAACCCATATCCACTATGTATGTTGCGTTAAAAAGGTAAAAAATCAGGACTGGCCTTGAGTTTTATTTTGGAGAATGAGTATAGTCTTAATTTATTTACTCACTCATATTTGGACATTTTTCTTTTCAGATCAGAAAATTCAATGACATTGATTTTGTGCCAGCAGTTATTAATGAAAACAATGATAATAGTAACACCTGTCTTTTGTAAGACTAGTAGTAGCTGCATTTCCCAAGATGCCACCTGAAAGTCAGTTCTGTGTTGGGTGTGTTTTGGCTGCCCAGATTCCCTTGTGGAACAGTAACACTGTGGGTGTCTTTTGTAAAGTCATGTAGTAAGTGATGGAGAATGGAGTCAAACCAGCTTGTCAGATTTCCAGTTTGTGCTTTAATATTTATTAGGAACCCTGATGTGCCTGAAGTGGTTGATACCTTTCCCCATACATTGAAACTTTTTAATAACTTATGAATTTTACCAAAATTAATTACATCCATATTGGCACATTGATTATTTTGTTTATCAGTTACAGAGTGTTGGCCTGCTTTTTGAAAATTACAAAATGTTAACAGAGCTGTGTCTTGCCAGCAGATGGCATTTCTGTGAGTTTTTCAGGATTCTTTGGAATCTGCTGTCACTTGCCAATTACCCAATTTTGTTTTGAATACTTTTTTTTCCGGTTAATATTATGCCATTTACATAAAGAGAATATGTCAAAATTGATGTATTCTATTCTATAATCAAATCTGCTGCCTATGGATACATAATTTACTTTTGTTAAATTATTCATAGTAGTGTGCTCTCAAGAAAATAATCCCTCCATATTTATCATAATCACTAATATGTTAATCAGCTCTCAGGCACAGGGTATATTAGAGCTTTTGTGTGACTATAATGCTCTTGGTTGAGTTTCTACTTCAAAATGTGGTAACATGATGGTGAGAATAATACATATTATATAGAATGATTAATTTTATGGTACTAAGGCATACTGTGTATTTCTGTGTATATCTACAGACACGGTATATATTACTTGTAATAGTGAAAAGTGAGAATAATCAGAATAAATAACCATTGGACTAATGCTTTTGGTGTATAAGTCAGGATGAACTCCACAGTCATACTGTTCTTGTGTGTTTGTTTTTAGGTTTGTTTTATTTTGTTTTTTGATTTTTTGAGACAGACTCTTTGATATGTTATTCAGGCTGGCCTAGAACTCTCTATGTAGCCTAGGCTGGCCTCGAACTCACAGCGATCCTCCTGCTTCAGCCTTCTGAGTGCTGGGATTACAGGTGTGCACCATCATACCTGGCAACAGTCATTTTCTGAACACACCATGAAGCTCTGTTTTTCCTGAGCTCCATGTCATAGTATTTACCTAGTGATATTCAATGAAATGAGTCATTTTGTTTACAACGAAGATAAAGCTGTGCAGAAAAAAAAGCTAGCAAGAGCAGTGTCTTGAGATGTTGAATGTTTTGAGTGCTTTTAGGCCAGGAAAATTCCAGAGCCCTACTGAAGAGATGATAAGATATTTAATAGAACTATAAGGAGTCTCTACAACCTTGGAAATAATATAAAAATAATTTTATACTATTTATTTGTTTTCTGCCTCTTGACTGCCATTCTTGAGTAGACTACCTCCTCTTGGTAAAAAAAAATCAAACTGTGAGACACTGTTTCTTAGGTGAAGCAAAAATGTGAAACCAGCTTGCGGAAATCACAGAATCACTGACTATAAATTTTGACTGTGTCCTTTCCTATAGTGAGCAAAGGTTTTAATATATTTGTCAGATTTGATTTCTCCATATCTCTTCATGACTGGATATTTAATGAATGACTATAAAGGAGTACTTTTCCCTTTTGCAACATCACATGCAATTTTACTTTTCTTTGACTTTGGGGGTAAACAACCCCAAGTATTTTTGATACCGGTATGTGATTCCTATTGACATTTGTACTATAAAAACAGACGCTTAATTTTATTCTGATATTTTAGACAGGGCAATGTGTACAAATGTGAGCTAACAGATGATGTTGGCCAGTACACTCAAAATACTCCAACTTTTGCTTTCTTTTTTCTTTTTGGTCTTGGGTTTTGAACTCGGGAGCTTGCACTTGTGAGGCACGCAGCAGAACCACTGAGCTAAATCTCCAGCCCCGCTTTCTTTTTATTTAAAATCAGTTTACTCATATATTTGAGGCATAGAAGTATCCAAGTCTCAGGTGGTAGTCAGATTACAGGATTTAATCTCTCCACTGCCAAGGATAATGTGGAAGTTCAATCATGACAATTATTAAACTGAGTTGGTGGAATAACATTATCTCTTAATTGCTGAGATAATCGCATCTTTTAATGAATATAACTTTAATTCAAAATGTGTGGTATATGTTGTGTATTATCCAGTGATATCAACTGAACTGTTGACAAATCCTCCAGAAAGAGCAGGTAGGCTGAATATACTATTCAGAGAAGTCCTTCAGTATTCCTGAAAGGAATACTTTCATTGTTGATAAAGTCTTCAGTGTGACTCCTTGGAAGAGGCCAGTCAGAGTGATCAAAATCAGGCTATCAATACTATTCATGCTACAGTGTAAGTTCCACAAAGGGAGGGGTATGTTCGGTTTTATTCATTGTTGTATCCCTAGTTCCTTGCACAGTGCCTAATAGTTACTGTTTGCTTCACAGATACTTGTATGAATGAGTGAATGCTTGACTATCAAGATAGAGTCATAGAGTATTTTTAGTATTAAAGTTTGTGGACTTCTTTACTTTGTAAACTAAGAACTGTGCTAGGAGTGAGTTCATATTCCAAGTTTTGTTCCCTATGTGTAAAGAATAGATGTCTTAAGAGACTCTTGGGACCCCCAAAAGTTGGGGAGTTGTCTAATTTACTCTTTAGGGCAAGCTGCTAGTTCAGGTAGATATCTGATGCCATTTTCCAAGGAGGAATAAGCCCAGAGGATAATCTAAACCCTTTTCATGTTCTTCTCTAAAATAACTATGTCTGAGGGTTACTTCAAATTTGCTGGGTCTCAAAAGACCTCAAGGGTGATGATAGTATTAGGAATAACGTGGTAACTCATTTTGTAGCTCTTTTGTGGGGGTGATGATTCTAGGAAATGAACCTATGGTCTTCACACTGATCTATATTGGGCTGCCCTTTTTATTATTTGAGATGGTTCTGCAAACTTTAGGCAAGACAAATGAGATTGTCCTGCCTCAGCCTCCGGAGTGCTGAGATCACAGGGGTACACCATGGCTAGTGGGCCAACTTTTAAGTGTACCTTGAATCAGGCATTCTGCTGATAACCATTGAAAATTTTGCAAATGTATATATTTTTGTGGCTCAGGGTACGTCTAATCTTTGAAGAGGTCATTTCCTGGAACAGCACACCAAACCAAGAAGGAAAGATAGGGAAAACAAGAACTGTGGAGCATAGTAATACCATGGAAATGGAATAGAGTGTTTTTGTTAGTCTCATGCCTCATTAGGGATTCATTGACGTTTATAGAGAGATATTTTACATTTTTCATAGGACAGTTTCTCTAACCGCGTGTCTTTCTCTCACCTCAGCTGTTCCAAAGACCTAACGCACTTGCTGTCCAGCAGTTGACAGCTGCTCAGCAGCAGCAGTATGCACTAGCAGCTGCTCATCAGCCTCACATTGGTAAGTACTTAAGCTGATAACTCTCTCATTAAAGGCGTGACCACCTTTTTAGGATAAATGGATGCTGTGAAACCCAGTAGTTTAGACTGATTATAAGAGTCCAGACAGATCTCTCAGATAGAGTAAATGGATTTCTTTAGTACCTAGCTCTTGTCCTATCTCACCTATTTAAGAATTTAAACTATTCATTATAGAGATGTCTAGTGATTAGCATTAGCTCTTTTGGTAAGGATTGGACACTGCTGATTAAATAAGTGGGTGTTTTGGGCCTGATTGTTTCAACTTCTCACCTTGTCAAGTAGCAAGTAGTACCAATGAATCTATCTTCAAAGCATTGACATTTAAAAAAGTATTAATAGAGGTAATTGCTAGTTGTTAAATAAATACCTTTTTCCAGTAGCATTTATGGCCTCAGTGAGTGAAGAGGAATTTCTTTGGTCACATATAAAGTATATAATACAGATAATGTATAGTAGTAAACCAACCCCACACTGTATCCCCCATACAAGATTTAACCATATAGTGGAGTCTGGCTTTGAGCTCAATGTGTAGCCCAGCCTGGTCTTAAACTCATAATTCTGCCTCAGCCTCTTTTTGTAAAAAAAATATTTTTTATTACTTACAACATTTAAAATAAAAACGAAAGTTTCTATGGTCCCCAGGCCACAGGTTGAACATGCCTGGGTAGGCCTTTCTCCCTAATTGATCTTTTTTTCTGGTACTAGGGATTGAACACAGGACTTTGCTTTTGCCAGACAGGTGTGGCAGCACTGAGCTAAGTCCCCGGCCCCTAATTGACCTTTTTAGGGTCTCTTCAAAATGAAATGCCAGCTGGGTGTGGTGACACACCTGTAATCCTAGCACTTGAGAGGCTGAGTCAGAAGGATCAGTGGGAGTTTGAGGCCAGGCTGGGCTACATAGCTAGTTCAAGGCTAGCCTGAACTACATAGTGAGAACCCCATTTCCAAAAAACAAACAGCAACAGAAATGAAATGTCATAAGTACAAACGTTTAGAGGCACAAATTTTCTTTTTATGTGCCAAATTGTACAATGGTTAACTGGAAAGGAGACCACTGGTCTTAGATGTGATATGCTGTGGAAGAAAGAACTTCGATCAAGTTAAAGCCTGACTTTATAAAGACCTTTGCCTGGGCCTGATAATATGTAATTGTAGGTGGCAGCCTTTATATAAACATTTGGAAAATTCTTTCAGTTGCAAATAAATCTCTCCCTCTGTTCCATTTTACAAGTCTTTATTCTGTTTTAATTAAAATTAATTTAAGGACTGAGAAATAACTCAGAGGGAGGAGTGTTTTCCTTGCTTGCATAAAGTTGGGTTTGATCCAGCACTGGCCCCCCCCATTAATTACAATTTTCAACAAACAAGGTTAATGTAAAACTGTATAAACTTGTAATTTAAGTATTTCTTTAAAAAAAGGGATTTTTTGGGGCGGGGAGTGGATGAGACAGGGTCTGGCTATGTAGTTCAGCCTGGCCTTAATCTATGCAACCCCTGGCCTCATGAGTGCTGGGATTATTAGGCATGTGCCACCACACCCAGCTTTAGCAAAAGTTAATGAAGACTTGCTAAATCTTATCACATCTGCGCACCCCCCAACTCTCAACCTATTCCCTGTTTTGTTTTTTCTTTTCCTACCTACAGACTGGAATGCTAGCCAAATATATAGATATTTGGTAATGCTGCAGTTGTGGTCAAGTTTGTTTTTACTGACAGGTGTGTTTTCAGCAGGTTTAGCTCCCGCTGCGTTTGTCCCCAATCCATACATCATCAGTGCTGCTCCCCCAGGGACGGACCCCTACACAGCTGGATTGGCTGCAGCAGCGACACTAGGTGAGATATTCTGCTGCATGAGGGATTTTCTCACCTGCTGGAAAGTCATGTGAGATAGGTGTATGTTCTTTATATTCCCCCAAATCCATGTCTCTAATGGAAATATCTGCTGATTTTCAGTGCTACCCATGTGCCAGCTGAATATCTATACTGAGCTTTAACGTGGGCCCCTCTGACTTGAATATATCCAAAAACAAATTGATTAACTACCACTTGCATAGATATTTTGGATCCATAGAGCCATCTGTTGATTATTTGTATTTCAGGAATTTCTCTTGTTAGCCAGGTCTCTTTGTATTACTATCTACCATTCTTCAAGTCCTGATACTGGTTTTTCTTACAGATTCCTAATTTCCTTGCCTTTTCCCCTTCCTACCCTCCATATTGTTCAAAAGAACTGGTTTTTTCTGAAAGAAACATCGTGGGCTAGGGATTTAGCTCAGTGGTGCTGCTGCTTGCCTTTTAAGCACAAGGACCTGAGTTCAATCCTGGTACCAAAACAAAAAACAAAAATCGTGCCCCTTTACCCTTCTGCTTAAACCTTATATTGATTTTTGTGTTTCCCACCCTAATATGATGTGCTAATCATAATCCAACATAATGGATCATTATAACCTGCTTGGGATTAGTATTTTTTTTTTTATGGTAATGGGAATCGAACTCAGGACCTTGCGCTTACAAAGCAGGCAGTGGAACCACTGAGCTAAATCCCGGGCCTGGGATTAGTATTTTTAAGGAGCTATCATGTAATGCTGAGGGTTAGCTAGGGTTGGGATCCACTATGTATAGGACTTTCTCCCCGATTTGTACATGGAGATCTGAACCTGTGAGTTACTCTCTATCTGCCTGATGGGCTACCATTTGCTAACACTGTACACAGTAGCAATACTGATCTGATTTCCTTTTGTTGCCAGTGCTATGCTGGGCTATGTTTAGCCCTTTGTCTTTGGACACTGTGGTCTCCATGATCTTATGTAGTAAATTCTTTTCCCCCTTTTTTTTCCTTGGAAGCTCCTTGGCTGGCAAAATTACCTTTCCTTGGTAACCTCTCCCTGTTCTTTATCATTGTCTACTACATTGTTTTTATTTGCTTTTGGTATAGTCATAAGTCAGAGGTAAGCACCTTTCCTGTTTGATTCTGAACATCACATTTGCTGTGATCCCAGTGGGGCTGTAAATGGTGGATTGGGTTCAGCATTAGGACAAAGAAAATACCTTCCAAACTAAATATTCTTGGGACTGGGGATATAGCTAGCTTAGTGGTGCTGTGCCTGTCTGGCAAGCACAAGATCCTTAGTTTGATCTTGGTACTGGGGGAAATAATTCTTTTAGGCACATCCCTTTGAGTTACGTTTATCATGACTAAATATTACTGCAGTATGAAATTTTATTTGGCACGTAACAGCTACCAATTATGAAGTCGTGAACTCTATGTAGCATACTATTTCTTAGTTCTTTTTCTTTTTTTTTCTTTTTTTTTAAATTTTTTTTGGTGGTGCTGAAGATTGAACCCAGGACCCTTGCACTGAGATACAGCCCCAGCTTCGCTTTAAATTTTGAGGCAGGGTCCCACTAAATTGCCCAGGCTGGGCTTGAACTTTCTTTTTCTTTTTTGGTACCAGGGATCAAACTTGGGACTTTGCACTTGTGGGGCAGATGGTAGCATCACTGAGCTAAAGCCCTGGCCCTGGGCTTGAACTTTCAATCCTCTTGCCTCAGCCTCTCCCAAGTATTGGGATTATAGGCTTGTACCACCATGCCCAGCTATTTCCTAGTTTTTCATTAGGGTTTTCCTGGTTATAATGCTCCACTTTTGGCAAAAGTAGAAGACTTTTTTAGTAGAATGATCTTTTGTGACCCATTAACATCTACTGAACACTTGACTGACTGCCAGGAATTGTCAGATATATGGTTGTATTTCAGATAAGGAGTGTATGGAGCGCGAGATTATACAATTTAAATATTGTAGAGTTGGGTTTATAAAGGCTGGGGGGATATAGCTCAGTGGCACTGTGCCTGCCCCATAAGTGCAAAGTCCTGAGTTTGATCCCCAGTACTGGGGGAAAAAAAGAATTGGGATTATAAACAGATTTAACTAAAGCCTATGCATGAACTTCACCATCTTTTTATTTATTTATTTTTTTCTTTTTTGAACTTCATCATTTTACATGGAATGGCTATGCTATCTTGAGTGGTCCTCTCTTAATTTTCTTTGTTCTATTTCTTTTCTGTTTTTCCTTTTCCTTTTTGTGCTGTCCTGTCCTTTCCTTTTCCTTTCTTTTGCCAATTTAATATATGTTACTTGAAGCAAAGAACTAGTTGTATGAATGACATACTTAGAGTCAATAAGATGGTAGTTAGTGATGGTCTTAATGTATTCATGGACTGAACCAGACAGAATATGACTTTCACACATGATAGGACATGTTAACTGTCCAACCTGTGATTAACTAAAGCCCATTAATTAATTACCCTGGGATATCATCCTAAATTCAATATTAAGTCACATGGACAGAATGCAGTAGTAGAAATGCCAGTTGAAAAAAATTTATAAAGAATAATGGAAGGGCCGGGGATTTAGCTCAGTGGTTCCGGTGTCTGCCTCGCAAGCAGAAGGACCTGAGTTCGATCATCGGTACCAAAAAAACAAAAAACAAGAATAATGGAAATGTTTATGTTACTAGCAGACCCTGCTCAGTAGAGATTCTCTTTGTTGTGTTGGCTTTTGGGGCTTTCACTGTAAGTTGCAGTCCATCCTTTTAGGGTAGATGTGGCCATACTCCTGGTACCTGTTATAGCTCTTTTAAGTGAGGATACTAAGGCACAGGTAGAATCTTTGCCTTTTTTTCTCATTGTTTACTTCAACTGACTACGGTGTGAGTTCTAGTCAGATGAGTTTGGGGACCTACCATTGTCTTTCTTTAAGATGTGGTGTCTCCGGAGGTGTGGAGTTTAGACTATTAAGGTTTTGCCAAGTAAAAATGTTTAATCTGTTTGCTTATTGTAATAGTTTATGTCATGGTACAACTTTTCTAAAGAGCACCTTCATTCTGCACCCAGTAGTGTTAACAGTTGTAGGCACGTCTTGTAAACAGAATTTCTTGGTCTTTGATAGGCCTACAGGTACAGAAAACATCAATTTAGAAATGTCAGAGTAATAAAATCTAACCTATTTATGCTTTGGAAGCTTAAATGGGGCAAGAAAACATATATTCTAGTTTATTTGACTTAATGTATGATGTAGTTTTTTTCAGAGTTAGCCACTGTGTCACAAGATAGCCCTAATGCTTGAAACAGCTCTTTGGAACTCCAGTGTAAGGCTTGGCTGTTATTTATGAATCAAGTTGAAAATATTTAACTGCTTTAATTATGAAAGTTCCTATTGGAGATGTATTTCAGCAGATTTATTTCAGTATTATTTTTGAGTCTTTTGGTTAGCAGTGTGCATCCTTGGTGTTTCTTGTCACCAGCTTCACCAGAGAATTCTAAGGATTAGACTTCTGTTACACTGAAGTGTTATCTGCACAACTTTGTTATGTCTGTAACTATAGTTTATTCCAGAGAAGAAGAGGTCATTTGGATTATAGTGGGGTGTTTAATCTTTTTAAGGATATTCAGCTGGTGAACAAGTCAAGGCATTTGTTTTGTTTTTGTATTTGTGTTCAACTTTTAGTTAAATTTAAAATTCTTTTTTTGTCTCACTATGTAGTTGAGACTGACCTGGAACTATGTAGCCCAGGCTGGTTTGGAACTCACAGTGATCCTCCTGCCTCAGCCTCCTGAGTGCTGGGATTACAGGCATGTACCACCACGCCCGACTTAAATTTAAAATTCTTATATCAAAGTCTGTGTCATTGTTTTGAGTCCTTTTATGACTTTTAAAAACAGATTTTTTTTTTTTTGAGACAGGGTCTCACTATGTAGTTGAGTCTGACCTGGAACTCACTCTATGTAGCCCAGGCTGGTCTCGAACTCCCAGCGATCCTCCTGCCTCAGCCTCCCGAGTGCAGGGATTACAGGCGTGTGCCACCACACCCAGCTAAAAACAGAAATGTTAAACTAAGCCTTTTTGGAGTTAGGTGAAGAAGATTCATTCAGTCAGTGTCTGGGTTTTGTTGTCAGCAGTGGTAAGAGTTTTATGTTTTTTTTTTCCTGTGTGAGTTTCATGTTTTTGAAGTTAATGACACACCAGGGTTCTAGAACCTATCAGTCCCCTCAGCTACCACTCACATCCATTGAAATCAGAATGTAGTGAAATTTTGTTCTTTTCCAGTACTTTAAGCACACAGATCCTCCATTTATTTCCCTTCTAACAACAAACTACATCTATAGCTATCCTACATTATTCTTGTGGAAAAATCTTGACTTCTTTCAGTTCCTCTCTCTGTTGGTAAATACAATAACTTATTTTAACAATTATTCTTTTTTCAATGTCTTTAATAATTTGTTCCTCAGTGTCTCTTCCTCTAGGCCTGTAATGTAATACTGAACTGGTAAGACTTTGGTGTAAGGAGCTTGTATAATACGTTCTACTTTTAAAAAAGAGAATTAATGACTAGCATAAATCAATGTACTCTTTAAGTTAATATTTCATAATAGACTTGTTAAGTTAGGTGTAGTCTTTGGGATCCCCTGGGTTGAGTCTTGCTAGTCTAAATTTCCCTTGTCTTTTTCTTGCTGATTTTAGGCCCAGCTGTGGTCCCTCACCAGTATTATGGAGTTACTCCCTGGGGTGTCTATCCTGCAAGTCTCTTCCAGCAGCAAGCAGCTGCTGCTGCAGCAGCAACTAATTCTGCTAATCAGCAGACCACCCCACAGACTCAGCAAGGACAACAGCAGGTATCTAAGTGACTTTTAGTTACTGTATTTAATTCATAGGTGACATTGGTTTTAATAGACAAACATGAATATATGAGTTCTTAATTGTGTATGTGTATTTGAGTTCAGGGTCAGATTGGATTGTTGTTGCAGAAAGCCTTTTAAGTCATTGAAACTAGGTGAGATAATGATATTAATTCATTTTTTCAATGAGAACATTATCTAGAGGGTTTTCTGTTTAGTGTTACAAAGGTAGTGCACTCTTTTTTTTTTTTGTTTTGAGATTATTTACAACTCTCGTTGCATTGGATATAAGTCTTAAACCTGTCAAATCACTGTTAACTTATAGGAGCTTTTTAATTGGGTTGGGAAAGAGTAGTTAAATGCTAAATTGTATGTCCTGTTCTTTTTTTGTTGGTACTGGGGATCAAACTCAGGACCTTGAGCTTGCAAGGCCGGCATGATGCCACTGAGCTAAATCCCCAGCTTGTCTTTTTCTTTTAATAGATTATGTCCTTTTCCTAATTACTAGACTAGTATTTATTGTTACAAGTTGTGGTGAACTGGGAAGGGCGGAAATTACCCTAAGTTTTATATTAAAAAACCCAATATTAGTATGTTTGGTATATGCTATCCTATCTTTATCATTTAATTTCTTTTATAAAATTTTTTAAGAGACAAGGTTTTACTGTGTAGTTTAGGTTAACCTTGAACTCACTATGTAGCCAAAGTTGACATCGAACCTGCAGCAATCCTCTTGCCTCAGCCTCCCGAGTGCCAGGATTACAAGTGAAAGTCATCATATCTGGCTAATTTCCTGCAAAATTTGAATGACTCTGTCTAGTTGGTTTCGCTTACTGTTTTCATATTGTCTCATATTAGTGTTCTTTTTAATATTCATTTAAATACATTAGAGGGCATCCCATACTTTGATCTGTTACATTTGATATTTAATTTAGCAGTATTTTGGTGTTACAAATTTTTGTTTTGGAGACAGAATCTCGCTATATAGCCCAGACTTGCCACGAACTCAGAGCAATCCTCTTGCCTCAGCCTCCCAAGTAGTGAGATTACAGGCGTGCGCCATTGTGTCCAGCTTTGGTGTTATAAATAATATTCATTAACATCCTTTTCATAAGTCCGTAATTGTTTCCTTGGAATAAGTTCACAGTAGTGAAAGTTTTCTATACAGCCTGGTTGCATCGTCTATCCACGTAGTTTAAGATAGGTACTCTTCCCTTGAAAAGCTGTCTAGAGTCTTTATTTAGTTCAGAAACAAAAATTTCTTTTGCAATGCTGGAGATTGAATAGAGCCTTATAAAAATAAGTTTCATAGTATTTTGATATTACTGACTAGCTACTCTTTATGGATTATCTATTGGATGTCAAGCATTGTTTTTGTAGCTGTTTTTAGTATTCCCAGCAAATCTACAAGATCAGCTGTTAAACTTTTAAGTATTTACAGATTAGAAAAGAGACACTGAGTAAATTGTCCATGTATCTTTCTGCTGAAGTTGCCAATGTTGTTCTTATGTTCACTTTAATGAATAGTTGATTATTAGTATTGTCTTCACTTTTACTTTTTTCCAAATGGTTCCAACAATTTCTGCCCAAGTTCTTGTCTACATATCTAACTTTAGTAAATAGTAAGGTGATAATGAAAATTATCTGATAAGAACTTTGTGTTTGGAAACATTGCAGAACATGTTAAAACTGGTAAGTTTAGCATTAATCTGTGGATTTGAATTGTTTACTTGCTGGAGTGTATAGATCTTATGAAATGAGTCTTCAGGTCCTTCGGAGTAGAATGGTATCTAGCATTTTGAACCTATGTCTCATTAATAAAGCAGAATCAGTGGCAGAACTGATGTTCTGCACTGAACTTGACTAGTCCTCATCTCCATTTAGATGAAGGTATTTGTGAGATATATGAAAAGAGAACTGGAAACATCTGAGTAAAAGCTGGTGAGCTTTTGGTTTTGCCTGAATAGGAATAATGGCAAAGGGTAGAGAAAATGGTTTCATTCCACGTAAAAGAATATAGATTCATGTGCTTGTGTTTTAGACACATTTTAACTGAAATATATAGGTAAACTACCCTCGTTCATCCTATCTAAACTACTCTTCCCCTCATCTTTCTACCCTCCATCACCCTTTTTTTTTTTTTGTACTGGGGTTGAACTTGGGACCTTGTGCTTGTGAGGCAGATGGTGGCGCCACTGAGCGAAATCCCTGGCTCCCATCACCTTTTTTTGTTTGTTTGTTTGTTTGTTTTGTTTTTTGAGACAGGGTCTCACTATGTAGCCCAGGCTGGTCTTGAACTCACAGCAATCCTCCTGCCTCAGCCTCTCAAGTGCTGGGACTATAGGCGTGCGCCACCACATCTAGCTGGTTTTTTTTTGTTTTGTTTTTCCAGCTGTTCTTTTGGTTTTTTGAGACGGGGTCTCACTATGTAGTTGAGACTGACCAGGAACTCACTGTGTAGCCCAGGCTGGTCTTGAACTCACAGTGATCCTCCTGCCTCAGTCTCCAGAGTGCTGGGATTACAGGTATGCACCTCTACACCTGGCTCATCACCCATTTTTAAAAATCAGAACATTGACATTATATAGCTACTGTTTATTCTCTCTCTTATTCACTGGAATAAAATATCTGCATGGAAGTAGTTTGCCTTTCCTTTTTATTGCTCTGCCTCTACTATTACCACTGGGTAGGAATCAATTTGATTATTGAAGGAATCAACTCTTTTGTATACTTTTCATTACTTAGATACATTAAAGATTGTTAGAATTAAATTTCACTTATGGTAATATTAATTCGATTGTTATCCTAACAGCCGTACCACATGAAAGCATTATAGAGAAAATGTTGAAAAAGTAAACTTTTAATACTTGGTGGATTTTAGATCTTAGATACCTTTTTTTTTTTTTTTTTTTTTTTTTTTTATTTTTTTTTTTTTTTTGAGAGGGTGGGTTTGACACAGTCTAGCTGTGTAGTTCAGGCTAGCCTTGAAGTCACTGTGTAGCCTAGTCTGGCCTTGCATTTGCAGCAATCCTTCAGCCTCTGCCTCCTGAATTCTGGGATTACAGGCGTGTGCACCACCACACCCTGCTTAGATACTTCTCAAGAGAATAAAGTAGTTGCACTTATTTCTGTCTCACATTCCCAGGTTCTCCGTGGAGGAGCCGGTCAGCGTCCTTTGACCCCAAATCAGAACCAGCAGGGACAGCAAACAGATCCACTAGTGGCAGCTGCAGCAGTGAATTCCGCTCTTGCTTTCGGACAAGGTCTGGCTGCAGGCATGCCAGGTAAGGCTGTGTACTAATGCTTTGGGAGGGAGATAGAGTCAGCTTGTTTGGGGCAATGCTGCGGTGAATTGGCAGTGAGTGCTTTTAGCCTGCCTATGCTCATTGTGATTTGGGGACTGGCAAGAAAGATACATACTTGCCCTCACTTAGATCATAGTTCACTGATGAGAGCATTGTTCTGAGCCAGTCTTACATCTTTCACATTGGAGGTGTGTATGTCCACACAGCTTAGAATATGTGGTTTTCTTTGGTGGTGACATCAGTTCTCCCTCAGATTAAGAATAGGTATAATAGCCAGCCTGTTTTGGCATCACTCCAAAGGCTTTAGTCTTTATGCCTATATATTTGAACCATATAGTCAGGAAGAAATTCCTGGTATTCTTTGAAGGGGCACCCCTTGTATATCTAAGATTTCTCCCAAACAGTAGAGGGGCTTTAGCGGTCTACCTCTGAGTTATAAATGAATATGTATCATGAATGTAATTTTGGTTTGGCTCACTGTCCTGTACTTTGTGTGGGATTAGATTTAGAAGATCTTTACTAACTGTAGAGTATATCCACATTAACTGATTTATTCCTGACTTTAGTAATACTGTTAACTTAGTAATACTGTTAATTTGTTTTGCTATTAATGGAGTGTTTTGGCTTTTTTTTGTTTTTGTTTTGTTTGGTATGGGGATTGAATGTTGGACCTTGCATTATGGCACCACTGAGCTAAAATCCCTGGCCCTCAAGCATTTTTTACCAAGAAGTCATTTCTATTTATTCATATGGCTCAAAATAGGATTTAGAGATTGCAGTTTGCATACTACTGAAGCCTGTCTAGTTTATTTTCCTGCTAATTTTCAGGACATTTGTGTTTGGATTATTATGTGTTATGAAAATATTATGATTATTGCAACCATTGTGGCTTCTGCTGTTTGTGTAGCCAGGAAAACAACATATTGTCTGTATTAGATTGCTGATGATAGCCCTGGCAATAGGGAAGGGCACAGGTATTCTCTATTGCACCACAATAATTGCTTTCCTAACAAGTGGCAGAGGACACATAACACTTCTTTACTGCACACTTCATATGTACCAGGCACCATGCTAAGTGCCTTACATTCATATTTTATTTAGTTTTCTCTAGGGCTTTTTGAGGCAAGTGGTAGTATTATTACCCTCTTTTTACAGATTCAGAAATGGGTGCTCAGGTACTCAGAAGCATTCAACTAGTTACCTGGTGGAGCCAGGATATAATTGTAGGTTGACCTTTGTCCTACAGCTGAATTTGTGACTATCTGCAGTGTGCTGGTGCACAGGGACATGTGTTTCGTACAGTAGACGTTTCTTCTCCCATCTATTGGAGTTCTAATACCTCAGATACCTGAAACTGTGGATAGTGGTGAACACTATGTATACATACTAACTTTTTCCCTATGAGAAAGCTTAATTGGTAAATTAGGCACAGTAAGAGATTAACAAAAATACCTTACTGTAGACTTTAGCAACTTCAGCATATGAATTTTCTTCTTTTAAGTCAAGAAATTTTACGTTTTCATTTGGCACTTCAGGGCCTTTGTGGCCTACCCAGATCTCTAGCATCACTTCTCTTGTGCTTTGGGACCCTTATTAAGTAAATAAGTGTTACTTGAACAGAAGCACCACAGTTCCAAAGCTGATCAGATCTGGGTAGGCAATCCACAGATCAGGCAGTCTGATTACCAAAATGGCTACCAAGTGACTTAACAGGTGGGTAGCATTTATAGCACAGATATGCCAGACAAAAGGACTATTTATATCCCCAGCAGATGGAACCAAATAGTGTAGACTTTCCCATGCTATTCAGAATGGAATTTAAAACATATAAGTTGTTTGTTTCTGGGTTTTCTGTTTAATATTTTTGCATGGTTGTTTACTGTGGGCAGCTGAAAATGTGGCAGGTGAAGCTGCATGTAAGGCAGGACGATGTTAAATGTTTTACTGTGTTGGCTTGACATTCTTAGGTTATCCTGTCTTGGCACCTGCTGCTTACTATGACCAAACTGGTGCCCTTGTGGTGAATGCTGGAGCCAGAAATGGTCTTGGAGCGCCTGTTCGGCTAGTAGCTCCTGCCCCAGTCATCATTAGTTCTTCAGCCGCACAAGCAGGTGAGGTGCATGTTACTGACTCCTATGTCAGAGATCTAAAGGGGTGTGACTGTGACATTCTTAAAAGTAGAGGGAAATAGGCTTTATTTGATAAAATCAGTGTGACAAATCTACCCTGTCATATTTCAAATAGAGAAACAGAAGCAACAGTTGACCCCAGTGAATTCTGATTCTCTTGAGGGAAATGTATCATCAGGTTTAGAAGCAAGGGCTTGCTCCATTGAGAGCATAAGAAATTGGATTATTCACATAAAACATGATACCATTGAAAGAATTTCAAGGCAAAAGCCACAGAAATCCAAGTCATTGTTTTTTAGATAATTGGGGGGGCGGTGTTATATATTTTGTGGCAGGGATGGAGAAAGTGAGAAAAAGTAGTGAGAAGTAGCAGAGTAATATATTTGGTTGGGGAAATAGTACTTCTTTTTTTTGAGACAAGGTTCAGTTCAGGCTGGCCTTAAACTGACTATTTAGTCCAGGCTATCTTCAAACTTGTGGCGATCCTCCTGTCTCAGTCTCTCCCAAGTGCTGGGATTACAGGTGTGCACTACCACTCCTAACAGGGAAGTGGTACATTTTAGGTTCTTTTTTTTTTTGGTAGGCGGGCAGGGTGGTGGTGGTGGGGGTGGTCAAACTCTGGGTCCTTGTGAGGCAGACAGGCAGGCGGTGGAACCACTGAGCTAAATCCCCTGGCACTTTTTAAAGTTAAGATTCACATGCCTTTTTTAAAGTTAGGAACAAGAGCCGGGTGTGGTGACTCAAGCCTGTAATCCCAGCACTGGAGGCAGAGGCAGGAGGATTGCCATGACTTCGAGGCCAGCCTGAGCTACATAGTGAGTTCAGGGCAAGCTTGAACTATAAAGTGAGACCCTATCTCAAAAAAACAAAAAAGAAAGAAAGTTAGGAACAAGAAAGAAAATATCTAGAAGAGAGAGCAACCTACTAAAATAGGCATTTGAGAAACTTTAGTATATTGTTTTAAAGAAAGCTCACCATGGTTATGTGTGGAATTTGAGATTTTAGGGAGTAGTAGTATTTAATGGATACATTTGATGTTTGTATCCCTTTTAAACTACAGAAACTTTAAATTAGCTGCTAACATAGTGAGCTTGCTCCCATGATATTTTGACTTCAAATAGAAAGTAGAAGCTTTGAGATCAAAGATTTTATAGTTCTTTGCAGGATCTGTTTCTGTCTTGAAAAGATAGGCAGCACTGAAAGGTTTTTAAAAAATGGATAAAAATGTGGTTTGGAAATGTGACCAAATCCCCTTTATAGCCAGGCTATTTGCTTTCTTTTTCATAGCTGTTGCAGCAGCTGCAGCTTCAGCAAATGGAGCAGCCGGTGGTCTTGCTGGAACAACAAATGGACCGTTTCGCCCTTTGGGAACTCAGCAGCCTCAGCCCCAGCCCCAGCAGCAGCCTAATAACAACCTGGCATCCAGCTCTTTCTATGGCAACAACTCTCTGAGTAGCAACTCACAGAGCAGCTCCCTCTTCTCCCAAGGCTCTGCCCAGCCTGCCAACACATCCTTGGGATTTGGAAGCAGCAGTTCTCTTGGTGCCACCCTGGGATCAGCCCTTGGAGGGTTTGGAACAGCAGGTAGAAATCAGACTGATAGGCGATTAAAACTGATGTTTAATTATTTTTTACAATCTTTTTGGAACCCTGACAATGCGTGGAACCCTGGACAGATACCACAGGCAGGTCTGGACCGAGCCCAATGGTGATCCAGCCAGCCCACATAATCTTTGAGATAGTGGAATATTGAAATCAGGCTACACAGTTGGGGCCTCTATCAGGTCCATGTTCATGTTGCTACTTATTTTTACTCACATAGTAATTTGTTTCAGAGACTTGAAAACCAGGGCAGATTTTTACAGGCATTGGGAAAAATGTGGAAGTAGCTATAGAAATGTGGATGTTCAGAGCTTAGGAGGACCTAGTGAAGATCACAGGGCTGAATGCTCCATATTTGAGGCTGTGCCCCGTGCTAGTTTACAGACCATAAAAGAGTTAGGAATTTTCTCTGGTCTTTTGAACAACATTAAGGTAGATGGTGTGGAAAATTGGGAGGAAGGATATTAATTAGACCATGATATTTTTAATGTTTTGATAGGAGAAAACAGCAGGAATTGTAGTTGTTGAACAGTGTGAAATTGCAGTGGCTATAAAACAATGTGATGTCAAAACAGAAGGGCATATTTGAGAGAAAATATCCTAATTGGAATCTGAGGCTAGAAACTAGATTGAGCCCTCTGAGATACAGGCTTTCAGATGTAAGTCTTGTGTAGTGGGGCAGTACCCCATTTACAGATCTTTTTTTTCTGTATTCAATTTTTCTGTTCCTTTGGGTTGATGAAAGGCATTCTTTCTAGTCCATTTTCTTTCACCTTTTCCCATAGTTCATGTGGCCGTCAGAGCTTTTAAAACCCACCCCATCCCATAATATACAACACCAAAGGAAAGTAAATTTGGCATATTTGTGTGATGGTTTGAACAAAAAAGTTTTATGTTAACCTGAGCCATGTCCTCTTTATTACTTTATCTACCCCGTAGAACTGCTACATTAACAGTTAGGCTGTCTCTGCTGACAAATTTGCGGTGGTAAGGAGTCTGGATCAAAGTACTAGGGTCAGGTCACTGGGCTTGTTCTTCGAAGAACAGGCCTGTTCTTATATGCATTGTTTTAATTCCATTTTAGTTGCAAACTCCAACACTGGCAGTGGCTCCCGCCGTGACTCCCTGACTGGCAGCAGTGACCTTTATAAGAGGACATCGAGCAGCTTGACCCCCATTGGACAGAGTTTTTATAACGGCCTTAGCTTTTCCTCCTCTCCTGGACCCGTGGGCATGCCTCTCCCTAGTCAGGGGCCAGGACATTCACAGACACCACCTCCTTCCCTCTCTTCACATGGATCCTCTTCAAGCTTAAGCCTGGGTAAGAACCATTACTCTAACACCACCTTGCACTCTAGAACTCTCTGGCCACTGATGGCATTACAAGTACTTCGCATAAGCAAAGGACAGTCCCTTTTTCCTAGAAGTGTCCTGGGTGTTCTGTGCCTTCTGTAAATACTTCATGTTGTCAGGCTGTACCTATAGCTACTAAAGCAGTTTGTGATTGATTAGCATTTGGGTACACCTCCTGTATGTTCACTTCAGCTTTAGTATGAGCATTTTGTTCTTTGGCTGCCTGTGGTAGTCTTTCATCATAAACACAGTACAGGTTCATTGTAGTGGAGCTAGAGAAAACATACAGAAAAAAAATTATTCATTTACTGTCAACACCTGAAACACCACCACCACAATTAATATGTTGCTTTATTTCTTGCTGAATCCTTCATACACACACACACACACACACACACACACGCACGCGCACGCACGCGCACGCACACACACACACACACACACACAGAGGTTAATATATTACTCTTTTTACATAACTTATTTAAAGTTTTTTGCCAGATTCTTAAATGTTTCTAAATACACTTTAAATGGCACAGTGTGCTAAATGAGTAGATATATTTCCTTATTGTTTGTTTAGGTTATTTTATGTATGGGATTTAAAAATTGTTACTAATTTAGATTTAGGAAATGAGAAAAGAGGATTCCAAGCAGCAGACTATAAGAATGAAAATTATATTAGCAATTGAGGTGGCAAATCTCTTAAAGCTTTCAGAAAGTAGGAGATGATCTGTTATCCTGGACACATGGCGTACAGTCTCATCTTCCAGGCATTTATCAAGTTTGGATTTCAAAGTACTTTTAGTGGGGAAAGTTGAGGCTTATATGTGGTATGACCATATGTTGTGCAAGTGAAGAGAGTGCTATTAATCATTTTGTGTTGGGAGACCTAGATCAAGACTGTCATAACAAATCAGCATGGATGGCTGCTTTTCCTAGAAAATTCTGTTTTTAACCAACAAGTTCAAATGTGGCACTTCAGACTTAACAATGAGGATCAACTAACAATCAGTAGGATACTTTGATTGGGAAAAACAAAGGCTGGAAATGATTTGTAAAAGGGAAGAGTCTGAAGTGTGTAGGGTAATTCTACACACTTTTTCTAGAGCGAGTTAATAGTTGCTATCTTTGGGTAAGAAAGAAAATATATTTGCACATGTGTCTTTTCTGAAGTTTAGAAAAGTTGCAGTGATATTTCCCGATTGTTAGGTTGACAAAAGATGCATAAGGGAATGGGGTATGTTGCAAAACTGTATTTCCTAGAGCTAGAGTGCCTGACTTTAAAGACTGGAAATGAGTGCAAAATAAGAAGGGAGGTCAAAGTCCCAGTATGATATGTGGATAGAAGGGAGGAGTCAATATTTGTGGACCTAACATTTACTTGTGAGAGTGTTAATGGCTTTGGGTGCTGTACAGACAGGGTTGGGGTGGCAGGCATCACCTCCATGTTTTCCTGTGAAGAATCAGCATCTCAGAAATTTTGTCTTGCCTAGGTGGATTCAGATTTGAGCAGTATTGTTTCAGTGTATGTATTTCACCACATGAGGATGCCCAGGATGTCTTCCAAACCACTCTATTATGAGATCCAGAAGGCAATTGATACTGCCTTTTAATTTCTTCATTTAAAGTTTGAACTGTGTCACGTCATACTGTACGGTACTAAATAAGTTAATTTGGCAAAGATTTATTTATTTATTTACTTAAATTTTATTTTATTTTTGTATCAGGGATCAAACTCAGGACTTTGCACTTGCAAAGCAGGTACAGTGCCACTGAGCTAAATCCCCAGCCCTTGCAAAGTTTTATTTATGTAGTAATTAAAGGAGCCAAATAGTAAATATTTTAGGTTTTGCGGACCACATTTACAAATATAAGTGGTAGGCCAGATTGATTCTGGAGGCTGTGGTTTTTCAACTTTGAACTAAATACGGTGAACGCTCCTTGGCATGTGAAAATGGAGCTGGAAATAATGCTTGCATGTTTAATTCCTTTCGTTCTTTCAATGTATCGGCAATTGAATGAAGCACTTCTTAGTCCACCCCCACCAGAAATCGAACTCAGGACCTTGCACTTGCCAGGCAGGTGTAGCACAACTGAGCTACAACCTTGAACCTGAAATACTTCTTTATTCTTTTTTTTTTTTTTTTTTTTTTTTTTTTTTTTTTTTTTTTTTTTTTTTTAATTTTTGGTGTTTTGGTTTTTCGAGACAGGGTCTCACTATGTAGTTGAGACTGACCTGGAACTCACTATGTAGCCCAGGCTGGTCTCGAACTCCCAGTGATGCTCCTGCCTCAGCCTCCCGAGTGCTGGGATTACCGGCGTGCACCACCATGTCCGGCAGTACTTCTTTTTTCTTATTTTCCTTGTTAAATAGGAAATAATTATTAGTGTTTTAATTATGTTAGTGACTTGCTACCTGCATAGATTTATGTTTAACATAAATTAACCTCAAGTAATTTTATTTCTGTGCATTTACATTGGACTTCTGTTCCTGCATGTACTTTACGTTCCATTTCTGAGGAAATTCATGTCTCAGTCAATAGAGCTTTGCCTTAGCTCATACTGCTTCTTTGAGAAAGGGTTGTTGTTGTTTATGTTTCCCCCTTAGTCTTAAAAAAATGGATGTGTGATAATTGCTTTGTAACTGTCTATAAAAAGGCCTCAAACCACCTTCCTTGTGGGGCAAGATGCCTTATGTATATTGAGCCATTCCTTGTATAGCGTCTCTTGTTAATATTGCTTGCTGCTGCCATCAGCCCTTATTTACTGGATCGTGAGCAGCCATTGTACGCATTTCATAGTGTGTTGAATACTCAGAATTCTGCTGCATGTGGAAACTTAAAACTCAGTGGATTTTTAAATTTCACACAGTTGAGAAGTATTTGAACGTACATGCTAGCCCCTCTCCCTGTTGTACCAATGTGGATGTTTTTCTCCATCACATCATTTTCATACTTTCTCCAGTCAGTAGTCAGGTCTGTGTTAGAATCTTTCTTTAAAAAGTCAGTGACCCGGGCTGGGGATTTAGCTCAGTGGTTCCACTGCCTGCCTTGCAAGTGCAAGGACCCGAGTTTGATCCCCGTACCAAAAACAAAACAAAAAAAAGTCAGTGACCTGCTTGGTAATATTTTTCATTTTTTCATCAAACATTTGATTGCCCACTTAAGAATCTTCAGTGGCTTTTCATTCATTACCATTGCTTGAAGTTCTGACATAGGAGAAAAAAAGACTCCCAAGTAATAGATCATTAAAATTTACCCATTTTAAGTATATTATTCAGTGGATTTTAGTAACTACAAGTTGTACAGCAGTTATCATAAATCCATTTTAGAATATTTTCATTCCCTCAGTGGGACCTTTCCTCCTATTTACAGTTAACCCCCATTCTCATTTTGACTCTACATTTTCTGGACATACAATATGTGGCCTCTTCTGTGCAGTACTTGTGTTTTTTGTTTGTTTTGTTTTGCCTTTGAAAAAGTTTTGCTATGTAGTGTAGACCAGCCTTGAACTCACTGTGTAGCCCAGATTGGCCTCAAACTCATGATTTTCCTCCCTAAGCTTTCCTCCTCAAGGAGTTGATTTACAGACATGCCCTACGACACCCAGCTTGGCTTCCTTTTCTTTGCATTCTTTTTAGATTCATCCAGGACAAACTATGCACCAGCAAGTTGTTCCTCATTGAATTGTTTTTCATTTTATGTACATACCACAATTTTGCCCATGGACATTTGTTGGGTCCAGTTTTTGGCTGTTAGAAATAAGGTTGCTGTGAACATTCGCATGCAGGTCCTTGTGTGGCCACATTATTTCTCAGGAGTACAGTTGCTGGATTAGATGATAGCTTCATGTTAAACTTTTTGAGAAATTTAAAACTGTTTTACAAATTTATGTGTCATTTTCACATTCTCACCAGCAGCATATGAAGATTCCAATTTCTGTACTTTGTCATCAGTATTTCCGTCCTAATATATTCCCACTGGCTTGACTCACTGATGATGGTGCATGCATGACTTCCATTGGGCAGCTTGTAGTACAAGTGGTACAGTCATACGTGGGACAGTCATGCATATACAATGGTGGTTCAAGCTGCCCAGTAGTCAGACATGAATTATGGCCATGTTGTGAACGTATTAATAGAACTATTGCTGCTAAGTGTGGTCGCACATGCCTGTAATCCCAACACTCTGGAGGCTGAGCCAAGAGGATCAAGAGTTCAAGGCCAGCCTGAACTATATATATAGCAAGACCCTGTCTAAAGAAAACTAAAAAACAAAACAACCCTCCCACCCCAGAAGCTCTTGGGCATGAAATGGTAGCCCAATGTGATCCCTCCCCCCATTTACCTGATAACTGATGATCCAGACTTAAGAGCATCTTTTAGTATGCTTATTCCTTTCTTAGAAATGTCTCTGCCTACTATTTGGCCATTTAAAAATTTAACTTTTTATTGTTGAGCAGTAAAAGATTTTTGTATATTCTTTTTTTTGGTACTGGAGATTGAACATGGGACCTTGTGCTTTTGAGGCAGGTGGTGGAACCACTGAGCTAAATCCCTGGCCCTGTATATTCTTGATATAAATCCTTTATGAGCTATGTTTTGCCTTCTGTGTATTTCTCTTTACGTTTTAAAGTGATGTCTTATGAATTGTGACAGATTTTAATTTTGATGTTCAACTGCTTTTGATATATATAGTATCTAAGAAATCTTTGCCTAATGGAAGGTCTTAAAGATTTTATATTTTAAAGGTTTTTTTTCCTTTCATCCTAGAAAGTTCTATTGTTTTACCTCTTACATTCAAGTCATTTTATTTTGAGTTTATTGTGCCTTTCACAAGATGTTGGCCATTTTTTCACCTGTGGATATTTAGTTGTCCTAGCATGTTTTCTTTAGCAACATTTTATAAACTTTCAGTTGCAGGACTTAAATTTCTTTTGTTAAATTTCTAAGTATGTATTTTTTTTGATGCT